AAAACACCACGAAACAAAACAACAACAAACAACTGTTAAGCACTACTCGTAGTTCTTCTGTAACAAGCAACAACAGTTTAGAAAACAAACGAGCGCTTATTGATTTTACTAGTTCTACAGAATGTTTACTTACACTTACCAATTGATGTGATTGTGAGTATCGAGAAAACATATTCAACATCTATATATTTCCACACCACTCACCTGAAACAAAATAAACGACAATTTATTAATACACATGTGAATGGAATAAAAGACAACATTGTAGGTCTTACGCGTACTTTTTGTTAACTACGTATATAGTGATCGACAATGAATTAAAACGTTGGTCCATATTTGTTTAGAACAATACCAAACCACATGGGCACAATATCACGTTATTTAAGAACAACTTCACGTCAGTTCGTATTGGTAATGGAACTCTCCATAGGTGTGTATGTCTCCATAAAAGAAAGACTACACGTTCATACTTGCAAATATATCTACCACACAATCACGTAACTAATTTCCTATTTTGTACATCCATTTTTATAGTTCCTACTCCAAACGTCCCAAATAAAAATGGCTAAATACACCATTGACGTTGTGTCATTAAATATAAATGTCTAAAATTTTTCCTCGTAACACTAGTGAATATTGCCATCAGAATTGCTTTTAGCAAAATTGACTGAATTGAAACTTCATATATTATCGCAGCCATTTATATTTCTCCTCATTTTTTGAAAGACACCTTTCGAAGGTACTGAATTGAATTGAATTAATTGAAGGTACTGAACTGAATACGTGTATGTCCGCGTCGGTGTATATACATGTATGTGTGCGTGTGTTATTGCGCTCGTGTACGTGTGTGATGCGATATGGGCGACTCCAGAGGGTTTTCTTCCCTTATATTTTCCTGGAGCCGCCCTTTTAGCGCGTATGTGCTGCTGCGCTCCGTGCGTTTCACTATGGATCGCGTAGCCTCGCCTCGCGCGTTGCGCGTCACACCGCGTCTCCAGCGCCGCGCCGGTGCAGCACGGCGAGCCTCCGGGCGGGGAAGCGGGGG